CGGAATCGCGAGAGCGGGGCTTGAGGGGACTGTAGGGGCTGGAGCCGAGCACGGCGGGAACGGGCGGGCTGTGATTGGCTGGCCTGGCTGGCCCTGGGGCATAAATACGTGCGCTGGGGTGGCGGGGGGGCAGGGGCGTTAGTCCGGCGGCGAGCGATGGGGAGCGGTGGCGAGCAGCAGTGGCGGTAGTGGTGACAGCGGCGGCAGAGGCTGCAGGTGCGCGATCTGAGGAGCGCCTCAGCGCCAGGACGGGACCCGCGCGGCTGCCGATCCGGGGAGCGCTGGTGAGCACGGATGCGGCTACCGAGGCTGGCAGTGTCCTGGGGCAGCGGGGCCGGCGGTGCTCCGTTCTTTGTGCCCTGTGCGGCTCGGGCGGCCGGTGGGGGGCCTGGAGCAGTGCAGGGGGACCGGCTGCTCCTACTGAGTGCAGTTTATGTGGTTTAAAATACCGGGAATAAAGGTGACTTTTTGCGGTTTTCTTATTTTATTTTGCTTTTATTTGTAATAATCACGATTTTTTTCTTTAATAGACTGCTTCATTATTTTGCTCTTTTTATTACGTTCCTAATAATTTTTTTTACTACCTACCTGATATTAATTTGTTAAAGGTTATAGGGATAGGGCTGAAACACGGGCAGCCTTGGGGAGGTGAGGGAGCCTTTAGGAGAGTGCTGGGCTAAGGCCCGAGGGAGTGGGGGGAGAAGGTAAGTGTTAGGCATCAGGCCTCAAGAGTCCCCAGAATTAGGATCCTGTTGGGGTTGGTGGGACAACTCCTAGAGATACTGAAGTGATGATGATAACTGATTTCTGGCCTTATTAACAGCCCCGGGCTGCAGTGAGAAGCAGGATAAGCTTTTAGCTGCTGGCAGTGAGAAGCTGAGGAGCTGGAGCTGAGGAAGCAGAGCTGGAGAAATATGGTAGGGCTTGAGGACATAACTACTTTGGGGCTGTGTTAAGGAATATGGAGGCGGGATGGGATGTGTGTGGCTGGATATGAAATCACTAAGGGATGGGATAGGGAGTCTAGAGATGTTAGTGGGGTAAAGATTCTCAGATCGTGGCTGGAATATGGGTTCAGGAGCTGACCTGAAACCACACAGAGATGGAGCGAAAAAAAAGATCCCTGCCGTGGAAAGTAGAAACAGCGTGTGCAACGAGTGTGCAAGGTATGTAGAAATGAGTGTGCAAGAAGTGTGCAACGAATGTGCAATGAGTGCAGGAGCAATCGATCGGCAGGCTTGAGCAATCGAGTGCAAAGTGATGGATCAAGGGAGGGGAAGAGCCATGGAGCTTCTTCTTTTTTCCCACTTTTTTTCAACATCTTTTTTTTTTTTTTTTTTAGTAATATTTTATATGAAGGGCATATGATACCTAGTGTGCCTGAGTGTGTCTGCTTGCGTCTGAGTGTGCCTGAGGAGCAATCGAGCGTAGAGTAATGGATCAGCAGCACTCGGCCTGACGCTTGGGCACACTCAGGCACACTCACACACACTTACAAACACTCACATGCCTGCAGTGACTCAACCGACACCTAAAATATGGTATCAGATGGTGCCTGTAGAATGTAATTTCTGTATTGTATTAAACAATAGCTGTTTTATTTATGGTTCTCATTTGTGTTTTCTGGGATGCAGGTGAAGATTCACATGTGGCAATGGATACTGGAAAAATTCCAGCCTGTGCCTCATACAAAGCCTACAGCTTGGTATTGACATGTTTGTGCAGGCAAGGGGACAGTTATCCAGCTTGGCTAAGCAGGTAGAGTCCTGTGGCTTTCTTAGATCTTCCTGGAGTACCTCTAAGCTGATGAGGCAGAACTATTTCACTGCAGAATGTTCAATTTAACAGTCAATTGCTACCTTTATGTTATGCTGATTTTTCAGAAATGCAAGTGCTACAGGTGCTATTTAACAGGGGGGAATGCTAGCAAAACTGAGAATGTTATAACTTCACAGTGTGACTGTAGTTTCTATTGACCGTAGATTTGTTAAATCATTTACTATTGAACATGCCTTGATCATGTCTGAGGCTCCCTACTGCAGAGTAATGCGCAGAACTCAGTTCAGGTCTCCGTGAGGAGAGTAAAAAGCCAAATGTTCCTGTATTCCAGCTCCCTTTGGAGAACACAGTTTCATAATTGACTAAATTGTTAATTGCTTTTAAACTGATTGGCATGGTTTCTGAGAGGAAGATTCAACCACGCTACAGCAGTATTTGTGAGGGGAAAAGAATCCCCTCACTGCTGAGTATAAGGTTGTGGATTTTATTTGGTTTTTTAATGCCTGAACTGCTAAATTCATCACTCTGTAAAATTAGTCAAGATCCAAGACTGTTTCAGGAGAAAATTGTACAATGTAATAGCATAATTGCCCCTCTTTTAGATTAGAATATCCATATAGTCCAATTGCCTTAATTTACATTCAGAACAAATGCACTTCCTCCTCCCTGCCCAAATTTCTCAGCAATGCTGTCTTTCTTGATTACAGAACTTCTCCAAGGGATGCAGTACTAATGAAAATTGTAGTCTAAATCAAATATTCATTTGCAAGCAATTTTACCATTCCAAAACAATCCAGGAATTACATTTAGAATCATTAACTTAATTTAATCCATAGAAGCACAATAATTCAGTATTTAGATCTCAAGCCGTTAAACAGTTTTCGCTGCCACTGTTGTTTTGCACTTTGTAAACTGAGTTCCTGGAGGAAGATGAGCCTGCAGAGCTTCCCTGATCAGTGGTGTTAACTACAGGGCAAGGAGAGTTAGAAAGTGGCTCAGCTGTGCATGACAGGGGGTTCTAACAGCTGCTTTACCATATAGCTGATCAAAAAATCCCCTCATCTTTGAGGAGTAAATAGGGAATTTTGAGAAAACACTATGAAGGGAGAAAGAAATACAACTCATGAAGGTTATAAAAATTATCTTGTCCCCTTTGATAATGGTATTGTTTACAGTGGAGCAGGAAATCTCAATCTTACATATACCTGTTTATCAGGAAGATTGACTGTGGATGATGGGGTGGGAAAAAATGTCCCAGCAGCTGTTAGAAGTTTCCTTTAGCTGTACAAAGCTGCCATCTGCCTTCAGCATGCCTTATCCATTTCTTCATGACGTGTGTTTTGCGTTCTTTCAAATAGTGCTGTGAATTCTTGTTTGACTGCAGCTTCGGACTCAACACAGGTCCAATGAGTGCCTACAGAGCAGCGACATCCCTTCATCCACCCCTCAGCTATGTGGTACCAGCTCCTTGCTGTATGTGGGGGCATTTACCAGCCCTGTTGTCCCTGTGTCCCAACAGGTTATGGCTGCACAGCCCATGCCCAAGAAGTTCCTACTCCCAGCTGTAAAACTGGTGTTTTTCTGAGCAGTTTTCTGAAGAACAACTTATTCAGAGTTATGTTCTAAGTACAGCAGACAACAGATTCTTGGAACTAATTAGCAGTGTTAGAAAAAACTTTTTTTTTCTGATAGCAACCCCCTTAGAATATAAACTTCCTCTTTCTTGTATCTCAGACTCATTAGCATTTCATTTTGTAAAGTACTCTAACTGAAAATGAAGTATCTTTAAAAAAAATGAAGACTCAAAACACTTGAGCGTATTTTCAGTGATAGTTTATTTACTTACTTATAAACAGTAAAGTATGCAAAGCAGTTAAAAAATGCTACTGAAACTTGAAATTCTAACATTTTCAGATTTTGTTTGAAGGTGAAGGAAGGGTAAAATTATGAGCAAAGACTACTCAGTGCTGCCAACCAGCCTCTTAAACCTAAGCCTGAACAATTTAAACAGAATTCAAACCATGCTAATTACAGTAACTTACCATGAGGTTCCTTGCAGGGGATCAGTTAGTCTTTGGAGGTCCAAGAATATAATTTTAAAGTGTTACTCAGCAGAAGTAGCTGGTAATAGTGCAAGTGCTAAAATGCAAAATTCACAGATGGGACAGTTTGGAGATTATTCTCATTAAGGCGCAGAAAAAAAAATGTAAGCAACTTTTTCAGTGGAATATGAACAAATGTGTGGGATTTCTTTCTCAACCTGAGTGTTTAGAAGCTCTCTTTTAACCAAGCACATCAAGGCATTTTTTAATTCTGCAGGTGGAAAAACTCAGTCATGCAGTTTTGTCCGCTGTTTAGATGCTCTGCTATTCACAAGTCTCAGTGGGATACAGAGTAATGAATATTCACTTGAAACTTACATAGGTTAAAAACGGTGTAAATATCCATATTCAGAGTATTGACAGCTACAGCACAGTACTATGGTGTATAGAAAAATACAGATCCAAGCTTCAGTGGGTTGCAACCCCAAGTACACAAGACAACTCCTCAAGCTCATACCACAAGTGGAAATAACTGTCCAATAGTTTCTGCTCTAACACTGTGTACTTTGTTAAGAAGCTGCCTCCTACATGACACCTCTGCACCTGTCATAACTTAGTTCAAACTTTATCAGTCTGCGTATATTTGCTAGTGCTTTATTCATCTGGAAAGTCCTTCCTGTGACTAGTTTTAACAGGAGTTAACAGCATTCTCCTGGGCTGGAAGTGTGGCAGAAGCCTGTTTCTCATGAGTGGACTGATCTAAAAACAAGTTAAAAACATACATCCCCAACGGAGATGCTGTGGACAGACACCCATAATGACAGCAACTCTGTTTCCCCCAACCCACTTTTGATAAGGAACTTCAATTGCTAAAAGAACAAGTAACGTTCCTTGGCACAGATGAAATTTGGAGGGAGCTGCTTACCAGTCTAGGTGCGGACACCCCAAGGTGTGGGACCTGGATTTTAGATCTATGTCACTGCACAGTGCAAGGGTACAGTGGCTTAGAGGTGAGTGTCAGGTATCGATACGTGCTGAGCGGTGGCTCCTTTAGAACCTGCTTATCCTGAAACAAACCGAGTGACTGCAAAAAGCTTTACAGAAATTCATCGCAAAAGGGTAAAATTAATTAACTGCTATGAATTCTTTGCATTCAGGGCTGCAAAACAAAGACACATATTACTTAAATCAGTTTTATTTAAGAATTTCCTACAGTGACAAATCTTATAAAAAGCATCCAAACACAAAACTGCAGCAAACAGCATTCTTCTGGGTATCTTACAGACAGTGGAACTTCCACCCTGGAGAGGCACACTGAGCTCTAGTGATCTCTGCTAAAAGAGCTACTGCAAAGCACACCACAAGCTCAATGTTCTTATCACAACTCCCCATCATCTTCAAATCACATTACCACACTTACAGATCATTAACAGAAAAAAAACACACACCATACAGCATTCACAGCAGTTGACATAAGGGAAAAGAAATACAAATATTCCATTTCACGTAACACATTCAACTAATTTATTAGCTAGGTAGAGAACCCACTTAAAAGTCTTCTACATGTGGATGTCCTTTGAATGCAATAAACACTCGTACATTATCTGCTATCATTGCTCTCTGCACACTCTCTCACCAAAGCCACAGGATTGAGAGACATCTCGCCAAGTCAAATAAAATCCCATTAATGCACCACCAGGTCTCTGCATGCGCTCGCTCCTTTATCTCGCACATACCAGACCTCTCATGCCTCGGCACCACCACCAATCCCACACATGGTTTCAAAAGTTCAAACAGCCTTCTGGTTCCATCTCACAGCCTTGCGTTCACAGCGTTGATACGACTCCATGAAATAAAGAGTAGCGGATAAAAATGGAACACCCACCGTCTAAGACGCAGCATGTGCGGTGTGATGAAGTATTCTTGGATGAGAAAGCATGTAGACAGAAGTATTCCTAAGGCAGAATATTTACAGCACTGCTTTCAATGAAGTGCTTCTTCCATACACATTTGAAATGAGATGAACTGCAGAGATTAAATGAAGCCTTCATATCGTACTTTAGTATGAAGGGGAGACAGTGTTAAAAAAAAAACGAACAAACACAAACAAAAATGACACTGTGTTTTCCAACGGGGCACTTGGAGAGTCTTATGGTGGGATCAAATTAAAAACAAGAGGGAGAGAATGCTGGTTCTGACCAATGGTTCCATTTTGAACATGCAAAGAATTCAGGTAGCCGAGAAACAAGGGATAAAGTATTACAGGAGAAACCTTTCCTATCAACTGTAGTGTTAGTTCACCTATCAGGCAAACAGCAGTCCGCTTCCAAACATTCAGAATTCCAACTAGATATGTAACAAAGCTTAGAAAATTCATTTTACCTTTCTTTTCTTTTTCTTTTTTTTTTTTTTTAGAAAAGAAAAATGTCAAAAATACTGCTGAATGTACTGCACACTGAACAAATTCATTTGGAAAACTTCAGTATATACGTAATAATTTACAGTATACTTACCAATAGTTAGAAAAATTTCATTTCCCACCATAGAGTCAGTATCAGAGCCCACTGCGTCTACATTCCCCAGCCTGACGACTTGGAATCCATGCTTGAACCAAAGCCTCCGTTAAACCCACTGCTGGAGCTTGCGTTCGAGGCTGAGCCCCACCCTATTGCTGACCCCGAGCCGGACCCTCCGTACGAGCTGTTGCCTGAACTAAAACCCTGGTTCTGCTCCCGCTGCATGTTGCCCTGAGGCTGGTTGTTTCCTGAGGGCCCTGACTGGTTCTGCTGGCTGGCCAGCATGCCCATCATCCCCCAGCTGCTCTGCAGGGCCGCCTGTGCCGCTGCCATCATGGCAGGGTTGATGCTAAAGGCCCCAAAGTTCATACCCCCACCCATGTTGCTGCCCTGGTTGTTGCCCAGTCCTCCCCCACCTCCTCTACTGTTACCAAACCCCCCCTGATTCCCAAAGCCTCCCGGATTACCACCAAATCTTCCACCTCTCTCTAACTGTCTACTGCTATTGTGCTTAGGTTCAGCATTGGATATATGTACGCTGGTTCCTTTAATGATCAAGTCCTCTCCACAAAGAGACTGGGCAACCTATAAGAAATAAGGAATTGAGTAAATGTATGTTAGATGTCCTTTTTTCCAAAATGTTAGTAGTACAAGACAAAACACAAAATGTCCTCTACAATTCTGAGCAGATATTTATCCTGCAAAGAAAGCATATGCATATATTTAATTCAATTTGAAGTGATTTAGCTTTGTATTGATCACTAACTACCTGCAGTGTAAATCCTGTCTGCACAGCTGCATCTAAAATTGTAGTCTCAGTCCAAATCAGATCAAACTGGTACCACTGTAATTGTCAAGACAGTGGACAAGTAAGCGTTTCATGTATAGTTCCGAAATGATACTTTATCATGCCAAAATGTAGTCTATGAAGTGAAAATATTTTAAGACTTACCTGATCATCTGCAAATGTAACAAAAGCAAAAGCTCGGAAGGGTTTAGGAATGAAGACATCTACCACTTCCCCATACTGGGCAAAGAACTGTCGGAGTTCATCTGCCGTCATGTCCTCAGTGCAGCGTCCAACAAACACCTTCCGGCTGCGCAAAGGCTCATCAGGACTTTGCTGGAGAGAATTGAAGGAAAAAACTATCACAACTATAGTCCTTGAGAACTTAGTTACAAGATTGTAAATGACACTCTAAATCTAGCCTGTTCTGAGAGTTGCTGACAGAAGAAGTTTGAGATTGTAAATTTAAGACTTCAAATAAATAAATTTTAGAAATTCTATTCCGAAAACATGGCTGCACCTTGTTGCAGCGCAAGCTTAGCTTGTGCTGTGGGTGCCTTGGAAACCCGGCTCGGATCCATGGGCTGGCCCGAGGGGACATTCATCCAATCAGGTTCCATCTAGGCTGCAGACATACGACTTGTCAAAGGAAGTGGGTGGCACCAAGACCTCGACCAATGACATGGTAAGGCGCGTGAATTTTGAGCCCCTATAAAAGACCGTCTCCATGAATAAACCAACGCTGTTGTCCACAAGAAGCTAAGGAGCGTGTCGTGTCTGCCTCCGGCCTCTCCCTTGCCGCGGTGGCAAGCACCACGAGGTAACGAGTGCGATTACAGCACCTTGGTACAGGTGGGGGGGAAGAGCCACAAGAAAATGAGCATGGGAGCAACACACAGGGATGGTGACAAGGCCGTTGCAGAACACTTTTTTGTAATAATTGTATATAGAGGCAAGAATAGAAGCTGTAGGTTCCGTTTGGAACTCAAAAGACTTGTTCTGCTATTCCCCAAATTAGTTATTCCATGCTTTATTCTGCATTTATTCATGCAATAAACAAGTCAGGCAGGTACTGTTGTACATCAAACACAGATTTCTATCTGTACTTCATTGTCTCACATAATGAGCTATTTTCCCAACATTTCAGTTACTTCCAGCTCACCCACCTCCTCTCTGTTTTCCTTCATTCCTCTCACTTGTCCTGTTCATTCACAGTTAAAGCCACATCCAAGAGTGGATAGTTAATCTGTGCAGCTGCTCTCCCCTAACACAGCTGACAAAGAGGTGCACTTGGAATGTTTGGTACAAATAAAACCCACAGTAAATCCGAAAGTACCTTAGAGTTGGGAAGTTTACAGTCACACCATCTTCCATCAATCATGTGCCGCTGAGACATTACTTTCACTTGGGTTTCATAATCCGTGAACCGAACAAACCCAAAACCTTTTGAGTGGCCTGTTTTAATATCTTTCTTAACCTAAGTGGAAAAAAACCAAAAACCAGAAGTAACCACTAGTATGAAGCACGTTGTTACTCACTGAATTTGGTAAAAATCTATTTCAGAGTTCATTCATCTTATAACCATTCTTATCACAGCAACCTCTAATTCCTTAACATCTTCTTGCAAAATTAACAGGCTCATGGAAAAAAAAAAAAACAAAAAAGACATCCTTAGGAGGAGACACGGCTTCTGAGCTTGTCCAAGTTTATAAAGCTCCTTTGTTTCTGCTTGCTTTCTCAGGAGCCTGATATCTACCCAATGTCCCTCCTTACTTGAGCTGCAAATGGATTTTACCTGCACCATGAGAACTTCTCCAAAGGTACTGAAATATTCCTTTAAGTCTTGTTCAGTGGTTTTCCAGGGAAGACCCAACACTATTAAATCTGAAGTCTTCTGTACTGCTCGTTTCACTTTCACAGCTGATGATGCATCGGTTTCATCCATTTTTCTCTTATTATCTGAATATAAAAAAAGTACATTAGACATCTTCAGCTCTGGAAATTGAATCACTGACTATCAACTGCATGGTGTTACATTATAACCTATGATGAGAAAGAGTACAGACTGCAGGAAACATACATCAGCTATGGAGTGCTAAATGGAACACATATCTGACTGCCCTGACTCAAAGCCAGTTCACAACCAAGTCCTGCTCCAAAATGCAATTTGACCCACTTAGTTCTGCATTAGTTTATTTAAGTACTATCCAGCAACATTCATAGCCCTATAAGGTGGAGAAAACATCAATTTTTAACAAGACTACTACACTAGCAATTTACTTCCTTCCCCTCTTTTTTTTGGGGGGTGGAGCAGGATGGTCAGGTTTCTCCTTTCCTGAGCACTTATAAATGGTACCTCTGAGCAAACCATGCCTTGAGGAAAAGTGTCTCTGAGTACAGAGATTACAGTACACTACAGTCTTTGAAGGCCTATACGAGGCTATCCTTCAAAGACAGTGCAAGACTTTGTCAAAAGTCTAAAGTACTCGTTTAAGTAGAGTGTTAAAAAAAATTAAAAATCAGTGGGGTCAAACCTATTCGAGGGGACAGATACCTGAATAAATCATTAATCTCTGTGAATCAGAGAGTTGAAGAGTAACAGTGTTCCCATGTTAGATCAGCAGTGACTGGGACCTTGAAGAAAGCAGCCTTGTACAGAGAACCGAAGCCACGAGGACAAACCTTTGGGATAATTCACGACGTAGACGAGGTTGCCCCATCCGGCCTCGGGGGCGTGCAGGATGCCCTCGACCAGTCGGACTCCCCGCATGCACTGCGACACCGGATTCCTGTAGCGCAGCCCGCACGCCCCGGGGAACTGCGCCGTGACCGTGGACAACAGGACGGTGCCGTCGTCCTCCGACGGGATTTCGATGGGCTCATCGTTCTCGTCCTCCGTCACCCGGATATACTCCGACATCTTCGCTGGACGTTACTGAAGTACAAAAGGGGTAGAGCAGGCGTAAGCGATCACCCTATCTCCCCTGACTTGGCTTTCATCTTCTTCGCCCTGAGTCTCTCCGTATTTATTACACAACAGGGGGACACCGAAATACGCCATTCATTAACGCCAAAGGCTCCCTCCGCGGAGCGACGAGCACAACCCCCCGAGCCCCCTACCGGGCCCGCCCGAGCCCGCGACCTCCGGATGCGGCTCCACCCGCCCCAGCACCGCAGGCAGCCGCGCCGGGCTTCACCAGGCCCCACACCCCGCTCACCGGCCAGGAAAGGGAGCCAAGTCCCCGAGAGCCCCTAAACACCCCCTCCACAGCACTCCACCCGCCGCCGCACAAAATGGCGTCCGCGGCACCTCAGAGGCCGGGCCGGGCCGCGGGCCGAACCATTCCAGGCAGCTGAGGGGGGGCGGGGGGGAGCGAATTGCGGCGGGGCGGTCGGGACGCGGGAGAGCGTGGAGCCTCAGCCGTGCCCTAGCGCCCGCCGTCCGTCTCGGCCGGCGTTCTCGGAACCGGTGGCGGCGACGGCAGCGCTCCGAGCTGCGCTCACCCAAGCGCGGGGCCGGTGGTGCGGTCCTGCCCGCGCCTGCGCGAGCGCGGGAGCTGCCGGGAGCCGGCGCCGTTCGGGACCTGTCGGTGAGGGTGGTGAAAGCAGAGGTCAGAGTTCGGAATAGGCAGTGGCCCCCACGCCGGCCCCGAGTAGCTCCCTGGAGCAGCCGGTAGCAAAAACAGCCTTGCCAAAGCTCGGCGACGCCTCTCTCCCGTCTCCGCTACCAGAAAGAACTAGCGCACCTCATTTAAAAAAAACCAAAACACCAGACCCCAAACTTGGTCACCTGGCGTGTTCAGCATGGAGAAGAATGAGGGGAAGCCTCATCGCAGGCTACAGCTTCCTCGTGACAGGCAGCAGAAGGGTAGCTCCGATCTCTGCTGTCTTCGACCAGTGACAGGACCCGAGGGAACGGCTGGAAGTGTGTCACGGGAGGTTTAGGGATATATATCAGGAAAAGATGCTTCCCCCAGCGCATGGTCGGGCACTAAACAAGCTCCCAGGGTAGTGGTCCCGGTCCCAAGGCTGGCAGAGCTCAAGGAGTGTTCAGACAAGGCTCTCGGGGACAGGGTGGGATTGTTGGGGTGTGCTGTGCAGGAGTTGGACTGGATGATTACCATGGGTCCCTTCCCACTCAAGATTCTGTGATTTCTAGAATAAAATCAACAACAGCAACAGAAAACCCAACCAAATTAAACAAGAAAAAAAACCCCAACAAACAAAATACAGCCAAAAACCCCTCTAATAATTTAAGGGTAAAAACAAACCAATCACAGTCCCCACAGACTCTTCTAACAAGGCTTAAGTAGTGGAGCAGTGTTTCTAGGGAAGATGAGGGGTCTCCACCCCTAGGGAGAACTTTTTTACTTTGCCGTGATAATACTAAAAAGTTACACATTAATAACTGTTCTACGGTTTTAATCTCTCATTTTCTATTTAGATAATTACCATTCCACGTCTTCCACTTTTTTATTCTGGTGCTTTACTAATGGACTTGTCTGGTCTGTCAGTCACATTAGCCAGGAATCACAGCAGAGACATCTGTAATGCAATCAGTATTTATTACAAGATCTATGTGAACAGAGACCCACGCAGGGTTGGCATTAACAGAGTTGTGAAGTCCTGCCTGCCATCATCATCGCAAAAGTGCATAGAAAAAAGTGCACTGCAGAGCTTTCTATAACCAGCTCAGCAACTTAACCTGCGGACTGTACCGTACTATTATAAGGAAAATAATTTTACCACCTTTTTCTTCCCTCATCTGTTCCTTTGTGGCACTCATCCAATCTGTGTACTCCTTGTAGCTTGACCTTCTTTGCACTTGTCTCCCAAAAAACCCAAACAAAAAAAAAACCCCAAACAAAAAAAAACCCCAAACCAAACAAAAAACAAAACACCAAAAAAACCCCACCAAGCAACAACCCCAAAAAAGCCCAAAAAATCCATAAAGGGCTATTAGTAAGGATAGAATACTCTACTGCTAGAAAAGGTTATCCGGAACCTTGCAGTAAGGGCTTCTATGGCTTCTGCTGAGAGTATTTAAGACTCCCACTTTAGATTTCTTCAAGTGCAAAAATTGGCTCCCAGCACCACTGAAACTCAGCTCACCTATGCCAGTGTGACTTGAGATTCAGTCTTACCATTTAATTACCATTTGTCAACAGAGTTCTGAGAGGACTTGACTAGACACAAGCTAACATGAGAAAGTAATGCTCCTACATTTTCTAGTGATCCACAATATACATCCCAAAGCCAGTTCTGGTGTTGCCAAGTCAGCATGGACACAGCCAGTGTCATTCAAATGTGCTGTAAGGATGGAGTGGTAGTTGCAGTGTGTCGACATGCTGCACCATTTCCACTCAAGAGCTTAGCAATAGCGCTGTTGTGGTGCTGAGCCAGAGTGACCTCCATCTCACGCAGCATCTGGTGGTAATTTCACTAAGGAGCAGAGTAAACATCAGCCTTGGACTAGATTTCATGCAGGTAGAAGGTTGACGGGAGCAGGGAGCTCTGTGCTGGCTGTAAAAGAGAGAGGGAAAGAAGGACAATTAGCCATAAGAGATTTCTGCCCCAAAAACCTCTTCCTCAGTTTTGGCAACAAACAAGCTTAGAATTAAGCAAATGTCACTATTCTTTTTCTATGCGAATCTGGATTCTTGCAGTACTTTCATTCTGTTATTTTACATTATAATTAGGTTTAGGTTAAGCAGTTAACAGAAGTACTTGAAGTAAGTATACCAGCGGGCATACCACTAGTTAATTCACCAATTCCCTCACACTGGCAATTCCAAGGGCCCATGGGTGCAGACAAATACAATATGTGGTACTAGCCATCATGTATATTGACTTAACTGTGCCCACAGGCACAAAACAAAATGCAATACAATAACTACTTGCTGCTCTAGGTTAAGTGTGTTCGTGGGTACAAGCAAACTCAGTGTAATCATCAACTGTTCACCCTCTCAAAAGCACTTGGGATGAAAAACAACATCAATGGGCACCTAAATATGAGCTCCTGATACAAAAACACCATGCAACTGTGGCTGCTGAAAAAGTGCCTGGGCCTATTCCTAATCACAGACGAGTAAAAGACAGGAGAATTTCATTAATGATAGTGCATCATGTAGTCAGATTGTAGGCAGCCTCATTTTGTCATTAGTTAATAAATCCGACCTTTTTTCCTTATTCAGTGGAAGTTTTTTCCCGCACAACATCAAGTTTCTCAAAATAATGCAGGAATATAAGATGAGCAGTTTCTCCATAAATATCTACCATAATTAGAGCTTTCCATTCACAAAAAAAGTTATCAACATAAGAATTTACTCATGCCCAGCAGTCTAAAACAACTACTAAAGAAAAGTTTCCCTGAAACAAAATAAGTAGCTCTCATCTACATAAAGTACCTGGAAAGATCACTTAGTCCATGCTACTCACGCTCCTCCTAATTTCCTCAGTTAAAACAACACTTAAGACTTCATTATAGTGCCTGAAGTATTTTAGGCAATTTTACTATGATCCTATGAAATGATGATTCCAATTATCTCATTTCTAATCAACCCCGGGTAGTTTAGTCCTGTTTCATAAAGAGGAAGAGTTTCTGCATTCCTTTTAGTTAATATCCTTATTTACTTAACTCTTCCAGACTGACTAGAACAAGTGATGTGTTTTTTAATCTCTCAGCATACACAATGAAAATCAGATTTTTTTTTAATAGGTCTGGCTCTACTAAAGTTCCAGAAGGGCTCAGTGGCTCAGTCTGGTTCCTTTCAGCCCTAGCAACTATTGGGTGAGGCTGGTTGGAGTCCATGTCACTGGAAAGCTGGGGCTCACCAGCCAGGTGTGGTGGTGTCCTGGCTGCTACTTAGCAAACCCAGCCCCAGAAAACAAAAGGACTGGCCTGGCTGAGAGCTCTGGTAGGAACTAAAAGTCTTCTGTAGTTACTGGAAGCCCAAATGCTGACAAAAAGGCCCCTCTGACCTCCAAAGCCACTGCTGGCATTGGCCTGCTGGCTCCTACCTTTCCAAGTTGCGAACAGTTCAGAGCAGTCAGGTTTATCTGCCATCTCTACCCTCTTGTTTGAGTGGTACCTGTGGGAACTGTCAAACGTTTGCATCTTGCATAGGGAATGCAAAATTCACTTTGCTCCGTTTTGTTTGGCAGAGTTAGCTCAAACCATCTTCAAGTCATTTCCCTTGCCTTTCTAGAGCATCCAATAGCAGAGCCCGGGAAGAATTTTGCCCTGTGATTTACAGAGGTATTTAGTCAGTTCCCAGAGCTCAGTTACCAGTGCAGGTATCTTCCAAAGGAATTTGATGCCTTTGATCCAGCCTGGAGCTGGGATCCAGAGACTCTTTTTGCTTAGATTCTATAGCAACTCTTAGCATGGAAGAGCATGAACTTTCATCAGCATAGGTTGGCATAAAACAGAGGATAAAACCCACAGACTGGGAACTGGTCCATAAAATTGCACGTGTTGGTGTGTGACAAGTTCTAAGGACTGAATATAAACATTGGAATTTACATAGGGTGTTGGAAATAGGCTCCTTCAAAAGCCACAGGTGGCTTGGGTAAGGTGTAGCAACTATTCTGTAACACCTGGAATAGTGTGAAGGACAGATTTGTCAGGATCTCTTCACAAGCTGTATGGTCCAGTTTTCTTTCTATGTTTTTTTATCTTTTTCTGCTTTTTCTCTCAAGGACAGAGCAGACAAGAAGAAAACCATTCTTGCTGGTTTTGAATGATGCACATTGAGGCAAGAGCTGAAGGATAAGACAAAGACTTTTTAAAATAGTTAGGCTTTACTGCCTGGTGATATTTTTTCGAAATAGATTTACTGAAGATTTATGTAAAATCTATCTTTTGTCTACTTAAAATATCTCAAATGGATGTACAGGTCAAAATTTAATGCATACGGGTTTTCATTATTTTAAATCATTTGCAATATAAATGATTTACGATTACATCAGACCTTTGTTCTTTGCCTGTCCACCATAAATTGAGGCCCACCCGAATTTCCAGCCTTAGCTGTA